GCATCATTTTGTAATTGTACACCCCAGCGTTCGTGACGAATGTCGTCTTTGCTCGATCGTCGGGGTGCATGAAGATCATATGATACCCCGAGAATGCGTCCATGAAACTAAGCAAGGCATGGCCACTTGTCGAATCGATTAGCTGATCGATCCTTGGCAAAGGATAGAAATCCTTCGGACAAGCCTTATTTAGGTCCGTGAAGTCAACGCACATCCTCCAGGTACCATTGGCCTTCTAAACCATCACCACATTTGCCAGCCATTCTGGATATTGGCAAGGCTCGATGAAGCCTGCCTCCAGCTTTTTTTTGACCTCGGCTGCGATGTCTCGGTTCTTATTAGCGGAGTAATTCCGCTTCTTTTGCTTAATTGGTCGACACGTTGGGTCAACATTAAGCTTATGGAAGATGAGGTCTGGACTTATCCCGGGCATATCAGCTGCCGAGAAAGCAAACACATCTTTGTTGTCCCGAAGGAGCTGAATAAGTTCACAACGGGTGTTCGGATCAAGGTCCATCCCGATTGTTACACATTTCTCAACGTCTCCTTCGGCCAACTCAACTGTTTCAGTCTGTTGGTCCATGTCCATTGCTGATGGACTGGACTCTTCAGAATCTGGCCTGCTGCCTATGTCAGCAGGTGTCCCAGTCTTTTTGTTCTTCGGCTGGCTCTCTGAGTCTTGCTGTTCAGCTGAAGAGCTAGCCTTTTCCCTTACGGACCCTTTATCTCTGGGTACAGATCCTTGGGCCGAAGCACTTAGGCCTTTCGGCTTTTTTGTGCTTGGCTCTCTTTCTTTTTCTTTCTCCTCCTCATCCTTGTCGTCATCTGGGCGACTACTGGATGGCTTGAGGTAGTTGCACCTTCGGGCGTCCTTTTGGTTGCCCTGTATCCTTTCGGGGAAGCCAGCGTCTGAGACGTAAATCATCAGCTGATGATAAGTTGAGACGACCCCTTGGATCTCATGAATTATGGGTCTCCCCAAAATCACGTTGTACACTGAAGGAGCGTCAATGACCAAAAATTCAATCATGACGTTCCTGGCTGCCTCATCGCAGCCGATGGTGATAGGAAGTGTCACCTTCCCATCTGGATAAGTTGAAGCCCCGTTGAACCCGGATACCGGGTAGGGTACCGGCGTAAGGTGCTTGGGCTTCAGCTTGATTTGATTGTAGGCCTTTCGGAACAGAATGTTTGCTCCGCTGCCACCGTCAACAAGGACCTTACTGACGTCGTGGTTGGCCACCGTGGCGATGATCACCAACGGATCCTCGTGAGGGAACGTTACCCCCGGCAGTCGGCGGCTGTGAACGTCATGTTCGGCACCGGCGATTGGGGAGACTGAATGTCAGCATTGTTCACCTGGTGAGTCAAAGCCCTAAGGTGTCGCTTGTGCTCCCTCCGAGAGCATATTCCTCCCGAGATAACATTGATCGGAGAGAATTTCCCCTCTGGCTTTTTACTGTTCTTCCTGGGGAAGTCGAGGTCTTGCCGAGAGTCCTTTGCTGACTTCTCGGACTCTTTTTTCTCGCGGTGATCCGCGATGTATTTTTTCAAGTATCCCTTCCAGACCATGTCCTCTATCTGCTCCTTCAGTTAGATACACTCCTCAGTGTTGTGTCCTGGAGATTCGTGGAACTCGCACCACTGATTTTTATTTTTTCGTTGATACCACTCTGGGAGTGGTCTCGGCTTTCGGTAACTCTGCTCCTCCTTTGTCACGCTGTAAATTTTGGCGCGTGGAAGAGACAGCGGAGTGTAGGACTCGTATCTGCCTGTGTATGAGGCAGATTTTTCCTTCTTTGGGTCGCTGGCCGAAGATTGCTCCGAGGCTTTTGACTTTCCCTTTGCCTTATGGCCTTGGCCTTCAGACAAGGGTATTTGTTTTTGTTTCCCTCCCCCGAATTGAGGTTGGATTTTCGCTTTGTTCCATTCTTCGGCTCGGATGAACTTATCCGAGGCATTCAGAGCTTCCTCCAAGGTCTGCGGGGTATGCATGACCATGAAGTCTAGGAACTTCCCGGGCTGAAGGCCATTCTGCATTGCAAAAAACGGCTAGCCCCTGGTCCAGCTGAGAGACGCTGGATGACTCGTTACTGAAACGGGTCAGATAGTCTCGGAGGCTTTCGGTTTCCCCCTGTTGCAGACTCATGAGTTCTGCAGTAGTCTTCTCTTGGCGGTTTGCCGTGGAAAACTTGCTCCTAAATTTGGAGGACAGATCATCCCACCCTGTTATGGAGCCTTGCTTTACTCCCTTGGAGATCCACGCTTGCGCGACCCCCTTGAGAGTGTTTGGGAAATATTTGCACCAAGTCGCTTCGGATCTTGGGCAAAGATGCATATGAGTCTCATACGAGGCACGTGGTCCTTCGGATCCGAGGTCCCGTCATATGTGATGTGCGACGGTATTTTAACCGTGGGCACGTGCTCTTCCAGTATCCATTGCTCGAATGGCGAACTGGCGGGTAGCATAACGGCCTTGCCCTTGTTCCTGGCCGAAGGGACCGCGCTCCGCCCTCTTAGAGAGGTAGGAGTGGTTTCCGTCCCTGGCTGGGAAGTCTGGGCCTCGGCCGCAGGGAACGAGAGGCGATTGTGCACGCTCGGTTCCATGCCGCCGAGTCGGTCGAGGACGCTTCGGCGAACAGTCTCAGGTTGTTCTCGATGAGTAGATTCTGGCCGAGAAGCTGAGCTGCTGCTCTTATGCGTTTCTGGTCGGGAGGTTGAGGATCCTTTGAAAAATTGAGGGTTCTTTTTCCTCTCTTTTTCAGTTTTCCAGGTATCCTCTTCCCACTCTTCCAGTTCCCGGAAGGAAGGAAGCTTCCCACCATCATGGTCTAGCTTCCTCCGTTGATGCCGGGTATGCGGAGGAGTTCGATCACGAGGTGGTGGCATATTTTGTGCCCTCATTGCCTCCATGAGCACTGCCAGCGCTCTTGCCACCTCCTCCGAGCTGGGCCCCGTCAAAGGGGTCCTCGGCCGAGTATGGGAATGAGAGCGCACAGTCGATGGTTGGCTTTGGGGCACTGAATGTGTCCTATGATCGGACTCACCCCTGCTAGACCGAGAGTGACTCGGCCTATGATGAGAGTTATGAATTACGGGAGAAAGGGAATCCTCCCTGTATGATCCTCCCCCCGAGCTGGCACCCTTGGGAGAGTTCCGGTCCGGCGAGGGTGATGGTGTAGGGGTTTTAGGCTTTTCGCCTACTCCTTGACGGAGGCCTTTGCTCTTGCGGTTCTTAGTCATTGCTACTAAGATAATTGCAAGATGATCTTGGTTAGAAATTTGGCTTAAAGATTTTTGAAAGTCCTCCCCACAGACGGCGCCAAATTGTTTCGGGTGAAAACAATGGGATCTTGTCGAAGGTCCGATGAAGTGGAGAAGACTGAATTCGGTCCAAGTGATGTTGGGCCGAAGGTTTCCTGCACAGTAAACACACGTAAACTAGCCTCGGGGGTGTTGCCGAGGAAGGCCCCTCCGATGCTAAAGTCAGTACAGTGTGTAGAAAGAGAACACTATGCAAGAGAATTAATTGCTTGAGGCTTTGCTTGAATCAATGTACAAATGTAATATTGATGGCTTTTATACCTTTGCATATATGGAGAAGTTGGGCCTTAGCCCAATTGGCTTGCCTTGAGGACTGATCTTTGACTTTAGCACAATTGGAGAGATGAACCTTGACCTTGGGCTTTTAATTGGATCATTTAATGCCTAGGCCCAATTGGACTAAATTGGACCCAAACAACGATTATTGGAGCTTCTAAGCCGTCTCTCATTAATGGCTTGATAGATATTTGGACCAAACCCAAGTGCAAATACCCATGTCGAGACTTTCTGAAGCAACCCAAGTCAACCCAAGTGCAAATTCCTATGTTTAGACTTTATGAAGCCTTCTAGGAATTCACTAGAAATCATTTTAAGTGATACATTTTGGTTAGCAGCCGTTAGTGTGATAGTTTCTTCAAGATCTTTTACAACATAGCTTGGAAAAATCCTTTTTTTTTTAATCTGGGAACTACCTTCTTGTTCATTTGCAGGCTTAGTAGCCATTAATGTGCCCTGAAATTTATTATCATATTAGAAATAATACTACATCAATACATACATGCACAAAGATATAGAAATAAGAATACAAAAGCCAAAGTTTTTTAATTTACTAACTCAGCTTAGAATATATTGTCACTGTTGATAGAGTGATTTGATTTAGTTTCACGGGAGGTCAGCCAGGGAGGTTGTGGTACTGGCAGGCTTGGAGTGGGGTGGGGGGTTTTCTTTGGGTATTAATTGCTGAAATCTTATGGGTAAGATTGCAACTAGATTGCATGAAATTGGCTTGAACTTGGCCCTATTTTAGATGAAATTGGAGTAAGAAATCAAAGTAAGCTTTAATGGTGATTGGTTGATTTGGGTGGTGCATCAAATGATTGAGAAGATTGATGGTATTTACTTGATTTATGATAAATTGATGTTTTTTTCTTCCTCCCAAGCTCTTCAAAATCCCATCCATATTAAACTCAAAGTTTTTTTTTTTTTGGGAATTGTGGCAATTGCATTGGAAAACAACCCGTAATAACACTCTTTCTCTTGGGTTTGTATCCAAAGTCTACAAAATCACAATTTCCCTCCTAAATTTCCTTCCTAAAAGCACTAAGCTTGCATTGGAAATTTTTCTTTTTGACGGGATGCATTGGAATTACTTAAAAGGCTTGCATTGAAATAGCCAAGGATGGGTCTTAGGCCCTCCTCTTTTGGACTTACTATGATACTAATCTGTTAAGACCATAATAATCTATGGAGTATTAAGTTCAGTTTAGCTCAGCTAAAAAAAGGGCTTTGTTAAACATAATTATATATATCTAAAAAAAGATTTTCAATGAAAACATTTTATGCAAGGACTAATGTCTTAAATCTAAAATCCATCTTTGGCATAGAGAATGGGAATTCAGTCAAGACGATTCTAGCTGGCCGTGTAATGAGGTTTTCATCAGCTAGAGAAGCAGTTCAAAGAATATTGGGACAAACTTAAAGTGACGGTGAAGAAATTGTTAGTGTACATAGTACAAACTAATAACTTGACATGTATTGCCTCTAATCTTTTGACAATAACAGGTTGTCAGGAACATTATAGGTTTATAGATACATGTATAACAGAATTATTATACTTCTACGGAGTATGTCTTAACACATGATGTGGCTTAAAACACATGCTAGGCCTCAATTACTTGTAATAAAAACAAACTACTACCAACTAATACTACTAATGACTGGCTACTCAAAACAATACAGAACTGAAGGAGCTTAAGGGCAGTAATGAATAGTTTTTCCATCCTTCTCATCACTACTCATCTTCATCTGCTTCTCTAGTTGACGGGAACTTAACCATCACACGGCCGTCTGGAAGGGTCGTCTGGAATACATGTGCATTGTTATGTGCTTCAGGCTCTGGTTCACAAGTCCACGACTCAGGGACTAGAACCTTATCCCAGTTTGTTGTGCTTCCAGTCTCAGAACCCGGAAGAAAATAAGTTGTTTCTCCCAAAACCGGCTGCTTAAGTGCCTCAGAGCTTAAATCAGTCATTGCCTTACACACTACCCTGTATGTCAATGCCAGAGGTATCCCTCCAGACTTGACATTTAGGGTAAGGACATCCAATGAAGAAGCATCGGCCAAAGATACCGAAAAGCTTGGGAAACAATTAAAATAGATTGGACCCTGAGACAGATTTGCTTCCACAAGTGCTAACAAAGAGTTCTTAAAGCTAGAGTGCCTCGCGTCTCTAAGACACACGGTTATTGGAGCTTCTAAGCCGTCTCTCATCAGTGGCTTGATAGATATTTGGACCAAACCCAAGTGCATAAAACTATGTTGCTTCTTTATGAAGCCTTTTAGAAAATCTCTTGAAAGTAATTTAGCTGATATATTTTGGTTAGCTGCTTTCAGTGTGATTGTTTTTTCATAATCTCTTACAGCATAGCTTGGAAAAATCCTAAGTACTTTTTTCTTGTACACTTGATCAATGGGGATTTTCGGAAACTTCCATCCATCAAGGTTTTTCTTAATCTGGGAGCCTTCCTCTTCATTTGCATGTTTAGTAGCCATTGACCTACTCTGAAAATAATTAAACTTTAGAACTTATACTGGTATTTTACTAGTGAATACATAAGATATAAAACAAGAGTAACAAACCGGATTGTTTACAATTCTGTCACACTGTCTAAAATTTATTGTCACATTGATAGAGTAATTTGATTTAGAATCATGATAAACAAATCCGAAGAATAGTACGGAGTACTTACCAATTTACACCCACTGCTTGACAAAATTTTCAGAGATATCAAAGGCAGAAATTTCACACACTTAGCTTTTGTAGAAACCTTGTTGCTTCCTATGTTTGCCTTGGTGATGTTAAAATATATTTATAGTAGAGAAACATGAGGCTTTTACATTCTAGATTTTTCCTCCTAGTACAGAATTTTTCTATGTTTATTTCCAAGCAGCTACATGGTAATCAATTAGACAATTACTAATAAAAAAATAATTTAACTTTTAATCATTGTCCTTGGCATTCTTTTAGTGGTTTTCTTTTAGACAAAAAAGGCTCAATTTTATCTTGTTTCCTACCATTGTAGTTACCTTCGCATTTCTTATGTCCTTGTCATACAGCGGCGGACCTGCCTTTGTGCCTGGTGGGTCAAATGACTCACCAGGGCCCAAAAAAATTATTAAGTTTCTTAAAAAAAAAATTAAATAAATAAATTAGTTTGTTAATTATTGTGATTATTATTTTAGGTCAATTTTAAGCTTGTTAATTATAAATTAGTATTGTAATCTTGTCAATTTTCTATTTGGATGATCTTTGTAAATAATTTTTCTTAGGAATTTTGGTAAAAAAATTTTTTTACATATTTGGTTATCGATTGTGACTCACCAGTCGAAAATTCCTGGGTCCGCCACTGTTGTCATAAGGTCTTCCTAAAGTCTACTCCTTTCTTTAGCATAGCACATTAGCACTTACTGAAAGAGAGAGGATGGATGAACCAGGGTCAAGGATGTAGACCTCTGCGTGGTACGTCACTCGGCGAAATTCCAGAGAACGTCACTCTACTGGATGCTAATGAGGTCATACTTACATTGGAGAAAAGTGATGAGTATAATGTATGATATAAGCACATCTGAATTTGGTCCAAGACAAAAATAAAGAGGAGAGAGGAATAGTGATGAATTCATTTAATTTTATTCAAATTGAAAGGAAAGAAATTAAACAATTTAAAGATCCAAGTTCTGTTCTACTTCAAAATAGAGTAATAGACAGATAATTATAAATGAACTAGTAGAAAATAATAAACATTTTTTTTTTTTTTTTTTTTTTGTGTAGCTAAAATGTAGTGTGTGATAAAAACACTATTATTGTTCTATTAGCATAGTGTTGTTAATTTGTTATTATACATCTGAAAAAAGACTAATACAACATGCTTGGCTACTCAAAACAGTACTGAAAGTCAGAAACTGAATATAAACTTTCTGATCTGCTTCTCTAGTTGATGGAAACCTTATCAGTCATCACACGGCCTCCTCGAAGCGCCTCAACTGAACTCCGATATCTCTGCTAGCTAGCTTAACCCTCCAGTACAGTGGGAAAAACCCAATAATCCGGAATATGCACATGATTCCATTTAGTCGTGTGTTGAGTCCCAGTAATCGTTTGAAAATAATCTGTTTCTCCTGAAGTCCGGCTCGAAAATTTGTACCGTGGATGTTCCATCACCTCACATACTACCCTGTATGACAATACTACATCTATATCACCCATCAACACATGTAAAGTAAGGGCATCCACAGAGAACTCGGCGTGGCTCAAATAAAAGAATATATCCGGATAACAATTAAAATAAAAACAACCTTGAGATAGATTTGTATCTACAAGTGCTAACAAGGATTCCTGGAAGTTTGAAAATCTAGCATCTCTAAGACAAACTTTGATAGGAGCTCTTAAATAGCCATTTTTTAGTAATGGCATAATAGCTATTTGAACCAAACCCAAGTGTAAACTCCTTTTTTGCTCCTTGATAAAACCTTTTAGTAGTTTTGTGCATATATTTTGAGTATTGGCTTTCAATGTGATAGATTGTTCAAAATCTTTTAGAGCATAACTAGGAAATATCCCACATAATTCTTTAAATTTTGACCAATAGGAATAACCAGTTTGATCCTCCAAGAACTTGTTATCTATACACCAATCGTACACTTGATTGACCGGGATTTTAGGAAATTCGGTGCCTTCTTCTGCATCATCGACAAGCTCAGTAGCCATTGATCTTTCCTGAAATGTATATAATGACACAAAGAAGATTAATTTACTTCTTTTATCAAAAAATTAAGGGAGATCAAGGGTAGAATACTCAAACTGTTTTCAAAACAAAAGCATTAAACCCTGAATTGGTGCCCCAATAGTGTATGACTTTAAGATGCTAAGAAACATAAATTATTGGTAAAACAAGGGGCTCCTAATACATGGTATTCTACTATTCTTTGTCTATCACAATTTTTTAATGTAAAGATGCTCAAGATATAATGTGCTTAAACATTGTTTAATTGCTTTTCTCTTTCTTGGCAATTTCACTCTATTCCTATTCCTTTGTCCTATTTGATTTTTGTACAATCATCAAGACATGTATTATATAAAATACAATTTTTCAATTTTAAGGGACAAAATAAGTAGCCAGAAGCAGTGGCATATCCAGGAATTCCGAACTGGAATCTTAAAAAACAAACGATACTCATATATTAATTAAATATTCAATATATAAGTTCAAATTTTTTATTATAAATGGATGGATTAAACATTTACAAAATAATAAAAAAAATAAATAAAAAAATAAAAAAAATAAAAAAAATAAAAAAACTCTACAAAAGCATTCTTCGAGTTTTATACTTTGAAAGCGTGCTAAAACATTACTACTTCTATAAGTGATAAATCTATAATTATATTGCAAAAAATCAATATTACAGGAAAAACAAAAATCCCAAGTCCCCAATAAATGAAAGTATAATGCCATGATTAAACCCACTAAATAAACTCATTAACTTCTAAGTTCATTTGACTCTCTAACTTAACAAAATGACCAACATACTACTCCTAAAATTATTGACCCAACTATGGACTAACTCATGAAGAACAACGGAAGAAATCGAAAGGAAAAAAAAAACAAAAAAAATGAGGGTGGTTGGTCTCGAACCCATGATCAAGAGGAGCCTCACTACACTAATAGTCACTCCCTTACCAATATGCTAGAGTTACATATTTGTATATTTACTTCACAAAAAAAAAAAAATTTAACCTTATTGTTTTTTCTTTTTTTTTAAAAAAAAAAAATCAAAAACTTATTATTTTTTTTCAAAAAATCTGGGGGTTCAATGAACCCCCTAAGATCCGCCCATGGCCAGAAGTATACAAAGTATATCTTTAAATATAGGGAAAAAAATGGAAAAAAAAAAAACGGTTATACCGACTATTACTAAGATTTATTCATAGGCTCATAGCATGAGATCCAATAATGTCTTTAACATCATCTACCAAGTAGAATAATTTGAATTTGATGAAAACTCTACATGACATGATCACAGTACAGGACCATCTGAAAGATCATTTGCTCAAGGATCTGATGTACAAGTCCACGACTCTGGGATTTGCACTTCATCCCACTTAATTATGGTTTGAATTCCAGTGTCCAGTTGAAAATAAGTTGTATCTCCCAATATCGGTCCCTTCAATGCATCTGAGCTTAAATTCTCCATCGCCTTACACACCACCCTGTATGTCAATGCTAAAGGTACTCCTCCGGTCTTAACACATAGAGTAAGGGCTTCTAGCGAAGAAGCATCATTTAAAGATACCGAAAAACTAGGAAAGCAATTAAAATATAATGGACCCTGGGACAAATTTGATTCCACAAGCGCTAGCAAAGAGTTCTCAAAATTAGAGATCCTCGCGTCTCTAAGACACACAACTATCGGACCTCCTAAGCCATCTCTAATTAGAGGCTTGACGGCTATTTGAACCAATCCCAAGTGCATGAACCTATGTTGCCTCTTGATAAAACCCTTTAGGACATCCCTAGATAGTAATTTAGTTGATACATCTTGGTTCAAGGCTTTCAATGAAATGGTTTTCTCGAAATCTCTTACAACATAGGTTGGAAATATCTTAAATATATTTCTCTTGTACAATTGATCAACAGAAATCTTAGGGAATTTCCAACCGTCTAGGTTCTTCACTATTTGAGAGTTTCCTTCCACTTCATTGGTAAGTTTAGTAGCCATTGCTTTGCACTGAAAATTTGATAACAAAAAAAAAATAAAATTATAGATACTATGATACTAAATCCATGTAATTATATACATACACAAATACACAATATTAGTATATTACATAAGATACAAAAACATCAACAAAATTTCAGAACATACCGATTTGCATCCCGATTTGCATGCACAAACTTCTTGGCAAGATTTGAACATCAAAACGATCAAAAGGTAATATATTTGCACACAAACTTTTGTATCAGTGCTTTTGTTGTTTGCATTAGGGATTTTTATTCATGTTATGAACATTTTTATAAATGGAGGCACAAAGAGCATTCATGAGATTCATCACTTGTACTAGAGAATCATTTTGGAAAGATCTTCTGAATTATTGCTCTTGACATCAATGGTTGTCCTTGTTAAGAAATGTTTTGATCTTGATTTCTTTCCCTAACAATCTGATAACCTATATATATATCAATCCTATCCAATGTATGTACAACAATTGGAAATACCAAATTTGTCTTGTAACATTCACATCTATGTACCAATAATGACTTAGACTCGATGTGGTTCGAAGAAGTCCACCCTTGAAACACCCCCCCGCCCGCCCGCCTACCCATTTGTAATTTATAATGCCCTTATTTGGACATCAAAAAACACATTTATGTGAAGGAAACAACAATAAATGTGTTGCTTTCCACATTCATACCCCCACAATTGATTATATTTATTTATTTTAGACAATAATCATATCATCTATTATTTCTCCCTATTAGTATTGTAAGATCATGATTCATGAACCGTATTTTGTATATTTCCACATATGCATTAACGCTATTCGTTTTGTTATCAAAAATGTAATTTTTTATTTTTCATCCAATGTTATAAGACATGATTTTGACCAATAATATCTTCAATTTTTATAATATTGCAAAAAAATACAATACAATACAATTTAGTTGATTTGCCAAATCAGACCAAACCAAACCAAGTCACCTTTTTTTAAAAAAAAAAAAAAAAAAAAAAAAAATCTCGTGTAAACTAGGTTACATAATGGATTAATGGGACACCTCTAGGTTTAACAATATACTTTCAACACAATGTAGCATATCTAACACTTCTTTGATAAATCATGGTTCAATGCTTATTTCTTCAATAGGTATTAAAGGATACCACATCTTAGGCAAAACCCTACGACAAGTAGGACAAGAATAATTTCCATAAAACCAAGGGATCATGCAAGTTTCATGAAATTTGTGACCACATTGCTTCAAAACCCACTTATTATTAGACTCTCCTTTCTCAACACTCTTTCTTTTACGAGTGTTGTTCTGTTTGTCTAATTTCTCCAAGCAAATCGCGCATACAGTGCAATTCTTGCTCACTTCCTTTATCATTTGTTCGTCTACAATGACTACCACTTCATTCAATTCAATAGTTTTGCAGTCATAGCTATGTGTTATTGTGGCTGGTTCGAATACACAGCGGTAGAGTTCTAAGAGGTGAACAGCTATGAAAGCAAACAATCCTAAGAGAAACAATGCAATATATGCTCGAGTTACATAGTAATCCACAGCATTGGCGTAGATATTTCCACTATCCATGTTTGATTTGATAGCAAATAGCAAGGGTGAGAAGATTTAATACAAGTACGTTTTTTTCATAAAATAAAATTTTTTTCAGGCAAGAAACTTAAGATAACCTTTTTTTTTTTTTTTTTTTTTTTAATAGATAAATTAACTTGAAACTTAAGGGCACTTGTATTGATGACTTTGGTGGGTTATTTAAAGATTTCACTATATGCCTTGAGCCGCTTTTCAACTTATCTGCGGCCTATTAATTTTTGGTTTTTATAAAATTAATTATCCTAATCCTAATTAAGGTTGGTTTCCTTAGATTATTTTAGGCAAGTAAATATCCTTTTTATTGGAATTTTTTTTTTAAAAAGGGCATACATAGGTAGGAACTAGGAAGAGTGCCTGTAATAAAATGGAAGCTTGTTTGAATAGTTATAGTTCGGAATAGACTTTACCTTTCTAAATTTGGAGGTGTATTCACTATTCACTTCAAATTTTCAACACTAGCGTCTACGTTGGTTCTTAAATTTTTGGTAAATTTCATAATTTGATCCATTATGCTGTTATTGCAATGCTATATTTCTTCAATTTCCAAATAGTTTGTACGAATGATATAGATATAAATGAGATTAAACTCAAATTTTGGATAACCCTACCAAACACTTTATAAATTATAATAAAATAAAATAAAAAACACCTTGTCCAGAAGAGAGTATTCATCCGAATTCTGGCCTATAAGGCTAAGTACATTTCAAAAGTTTCTCTTTCTCAATCATATATTCCCTTATAATGGAGAAAAAATGTTGAGTACTTGTCAATAAAGAAGAAAGCTTGATTTCTTTCAAAAAAAAAAGAAAAAGCTCGATTTACACTTAAATATAAGTAAAACATAACTATCCCCAAAACAAAAAGACTGACCAATACCATCAAAATGTTTAGTCCATCAGCGTGCAAACAAAGGATGGTAAAGACCCAGAAATAGTTGAATATCCACTTATAAAGTAAGTTTCGTTTACACTGGTTACTACCGAAAGTAGAGGCAATAACCGTGATAACAGGTAAACAATTCTTGGGTCAAAAATATATACAATGAGGCACATCTTAAAGGATCAAACCTTGCACTGGCTCAGGCTTTGTAGGTTGTTTCTCACTCGGGGAAGAATCCTTGGGTGATGATGAAGACTTAGGGGATGATGGAGCCTTGGGGGAGTCGGATTCTGATAGATGGACCTGAGCAAAGTCATCCACCATTTTCCTCTTCTGCTCATCTTCCGCCATTCCAACTTTCTCTATCGTCTTCTGCCCAACTTCACCAGCTGCTTTTGTCACCCTGCTGAAAGCGCCAGTTACCCAGGTGGTACCAGTAAGCACATAGCGGTTCTTCATTATGGCGGACCCTGCAGTGCTGACTTTTTCCTCAGCAACAGCTAATGCTGATTTTGTTTTCTCAGAAACCTGGAATTTCTGATCCATCTCCTTCACTTTGTTGTTAACTGCAGAAGTACCCATGCTAATCTTCTCCGTCAGACCAATCTTCTGGTCAAGAGATGCAATTTTAATAGAGGCTGTTGAAGTAAGCTGATGCTTCTCATCTAAGGATTTTGCCTTGCCAACAGCATCTTTCCCTAAGATAAAACCCTTGGCTAGCATGCTGGTAACGACATCCTCTGCCTTTCGCAGAGCACCTTGAGCACCTCCAGGGGCATCCTGTAAATTTTGCCAACCAAAAGTTAATATTGGGAAAAGCTCAAACCATTCAGATGGGACAAAGGACATTTTGAAATCACGAGCTTTTTCTTACAGCTGGCGGTGCTAAAGCAGCGGGAGGCAACTCGTACTCTGGATCCAAAGTTATTGTCACTGTCTTTTCAGCTATTGTTGCTCCCTGGCACAAGTACAAATTGGTTAGAAGAAGACGTCAATAACACAAGCAGGCCGCTTCAAGTGACTAAATTAAAATGCCGGACATAAAAAGCATCAATGCCTACAAGTGACCTCGTAGTCACAATGCCTACAAGTGGCATCCAGTGAAATAATGATACCAACTATAAACTAACTCCCCAATTTAAATAAAAAATTAAAAAAAAAAAAAAAAAAAATTGAGGAACCAAAGGTAGGGAGGGACACAATTGTGAAGGGGCCTCTTCTTCACCAATTTCAAGGGTATACTAGTACTTTATAAAGTGAACCAGTACCCCTGTTGATTGATTATGGTAATCCAACGCCATATTTATAATGCTAATGGTAAATTCCCTCGGAAAATAGTCAAAAGCAGAAGGAAAAAATCATTTCTCATAGGCATTCATTGAAAACTACTACTGTCCAAGGAAATAAAGAAGAACATCAGCACAAAGTTAAGCATATCATGTGACAAATAAATAACCAACTGCAGCCTTACCAGGTTAATTTTAAAATCATACCAACTAAAAAAGAGTACCTAAAGGTTCCATCAATGGTGAGAATAACAGAATATTCATACAAGAGCTCACAAATTGGTGATAATCATGTGTGTTGTCATTAAATTCACTAAATACATGCACACGCTATCTGGAGGATACCTAATTACCATAGCATGCTACTATCCTAATACATGATTTCGTCCTCTCTACTTGGCGGAGAAACATCTCTGGCTCATCCATGTTCATTCTCTCTAAGAATCTGGATCAAGGGGCTTACAATTAAAGCACATAAATTCGGTGACCGAGATTACTCTTGATAATAGAATTGATAGACTACTAAGCACTAACAAATCTTAATCATAATAAAATAATACGGAGTGTAAAATATTTTTAAAAAAAATTACAACTGACAAAAAAAATAAAGTACAATAAGGATCTCAACAGCAATCAGTTTGTAAAGAGGTTTGGAAATCGAGGTAAGAAATCAGCTGGGGGTTTTCACCAGATATAGAGTATATAAATGATTTGGAATGCTGCATTGCTGCTATGAAACTAACACCAAAAATAATTAAAGGACAAAGGATTTATATAGAGCATGCTCTCGGTGGATGAACTACATAGATCTGCATCAAAACTGTGGAGGCATGAACCAGTGTAATTGTGGTCTTATATAGTTATTGTAGCATGTTAGCATGCTATAGGTAAAGCATATAGCAAGAAGTTTACACCATTAACATGCATGCAAATGGGAAAAAGAGAGGAAGATGAGGCAGAAGACAAAAGCACCCAGGATACCAGGCAGATATAGCAAGAAGTTTACACCATTAAAGAGACAAAGTCAAATGTACAAAGCTCCTTGCTCTAAAAAAGATCACAGAAGAATATTAACATTGATACCCAATTTACTTGGTTTTTGCTATATGGCAATTAATGCACCAAGCACAAGCAACTCAAGAGTCACTTGGAAACTGTTAGCTTTGGATCAAAATTTACACTCTATCTCATATGCAAACATCAGAGTATACATTATGCATATTCAACTTGGAGATCCATCATACGCTAGCAGTTACATATAGCTCACAGTTTGTCAGCATTTATTTACTCCAAGAGTGTCACAACATTACAGCCAAAACAGAGATAGGAGATTTTACATGTTCTGCTAATTTATTTCTAGAATGTCTAGATAATCTACCATAAGCAAGGAAATTACCGTAAGCAAAACAGCAGTTTCGGCTCCCTGTGAGTCATTGAAGGTAACATAGGCAGTTTGGGATTCTTCATTTTCACTGCAAAAGTACACAAATTCATATTGTGCATAAGCTAACCACGACCCAAAAGTTAAAGGTGAATGAAAATCTACCTCTTCATCTCCAAATATACAATATCACCGGAAAAAGAAAAGAACTCCTTGAGCTCTCGCTCAGATGCCTTAAGAGAAACATTGCTGACTTTAACAGTCTTAGCCTGAAATGAAAGATATAATAATACAAGTTTAAATCTTTTTCATATTTTTTAGAAGAAAGATTATGTGCAATGATCATACTCCAGAATGACACTTATGCCAAAAATGCATGAAGTTATCACATGGTGTACAACACGCCAAAGGATATCTAAAGACAAATATGAGAGAACTAACACCAAAATTAATCTCTTCTTGTTTTCCCTCTAGGGGTATATCATAATTAAAGAGATTAATAATTAAAACTTGCAACTAGGAACACAATTGCATCAAAGAAGTTAATTTCTCAAATCTCAAGCCCCAATATTCAATTGGATATAATGATAAAAGCAATTTTAACACAGAAGGAAATATACCCTGGTGGGTAAGTGGTGTCTCACACATAGATTCATGTAATGCAATTAACAGCAATACAAGCAATATTGCTCAACCAGTAAACAGCACCTTGATACCATGCCATCAAGAAAACCACAACCTTATTTCCTAATGGCCATTTATTGGCAAAAGACGGCACATGAATACCATGTAAGCCTACACTTAAAAACTGCACAACGCCTTCATTTAGTCAGAATATTAAAATGACAATGGTTCAATACGACTGCATACGAAAAATTTCTAGCTAAAACAAGGCGGTAGATGTTTTTTAGTGTGTGTGCACAACTATGCGTGTATAAAAGGGGAAGGGTCATTTGCTAAAACTATTATCTTAAGGAAACACATACAGTTCTTAACTAGCATCTCAAAGTTCAAAACTTCCCTCGATTGACATTTTATACAAGGTCAGCCAATAGAAAAAAGAGCACAGCTTTGCGTGAAGAAAGCATATCTCAACCATTTTTGTTCTGTTTCACCTCATCTTCAATCAATCACATTTTATAATTCATTAATTTTTTTATTTTTTTTTTTCAGTGAACATTTCATAAATCAGTGTAAAAATTTTGTTATATTTGATTATAATACATTTCCTACAAATGTGAAGATAACAATTAAGCCTAAGGATGATTAAACAACCATAGCTTGTTCTAGTGGCAAAGACCCATTTAATGACCTTAAGGTCCCAAGTTCGAGTTAGTGACCATAACCAAGTTCGAGTTTGACCTTCCCAAGCTCCAATGGTTTACACTCGCTATTGGGCCGGGCTTAATCCTAAATATTGAATGGGCAGGCTCAGGCCCATACGCCATACATGTCAAAATTGATAAAATCAAGCTCATTTCTATATTCTAAACGTAAACATGACTACTTGTTTCAAATGGGCAATAAAATTAATCGATTGATTTTAATCAGCTAAACTGAATCAATCAATAATGACCAAAAGCATATATTATAATTCAATTAAAAGTGACGATATTTATATTCCATATTTTAATTAGGTAGGTAAATTGATTAATTGCAAATTTTCCAACATTACATGATATTTTATAAAAAGTTAAAAACAACTAGTCAAACAAAACCAATGACATTTCTTCATCACTACAAATCAACCAGAAGAGATCACACATTCACACAAACAACAAAAAAAAACGAATCTAAACATTTTCAGATCTAACATTAACGAACGAACAAATTTTAAAAAACCGCAAACAAAAAAAAACGACGAAATTAATCGAAACGAAAACAATAAGATTAACAACGACAAAGAATGAAGAGAGAGAAATAGGATGAATGAAAACTTACCGACATTTTTGTAATAGAAGGAAGAAAAAGAGGTTTTAGAGAGAGAAAATGTAATGGAAGAGGAGAGAGAAAGAGGAGGGGGAGTTTTGAAGAAGAAGAATATGAATTCAAGGGGAAGGCTCAATAAAGGTTTAGTTTTGCCGGCGAGTGAAGCACGTGAGTTGTGGGTGGGGGAGTTCACTTTTTCATTTAAGCACGATCGAACGATACGGACTATTTATTTTATTTTATTTTAATTAATTATGTAATTAATCAACGGTTTTGGGTTATTTATGGAAGAGTAATTAAATTAATATGCGTAATAATACGGTAAGAATGAAATCTACGACACGCGGTTACGAAAAAGGGTAGGATTGGACCTACCTTTTGTTTTAATTTTTTTCTTTTTACAGTCTTGTTTGAATCTTTGTCTTTTGTCTTCACCTCTATTTTACTGACTAACATAGTTACTTTTTAATTATTAATTGCATTCTCAGCTAATTTTTATTGAATTTAATTGAAGAGGTGTTAGGGAGGAAATCACCTTCTTCACTTGAATTATGTGGTACAATTACATGAATAAAAATAAAAAAAGGAGTTTTTTTATAAGACTGATGATATGAAATTTGTTTTTATGTCAAATTACTCACCTTTGGTCATTAGTAGTTCTTAATTTATGACTTTGTGTCATCCACATACATATACAAAGTGTAACTTAGTTAAATTATACCGAAAATTATTTTTTTGTAACTGTTTATCGATGTTAGTTCATGGATATGGCATATGGGTGGATAAACTTGACATGCAAGCTCAAAGCCTCCACTTGCATTTAGTTGATTAAGAAATTGGGCTTCTGACTAAATGTCTCGATTTACGTGTTCACATTTTAACACACAAAACGAGGCATTTACGTTATTTTTTTGTCAAATCTGAGCTCAATTTGGTTTCCTAAGGTCCAAAATAGCCCCCAAAACCTATGACGAAATATTTTTTCAACGCACAAATCGATAAAAAAAATATTAATAATGGAGAGTGAGCCCCATTAACTGAATTTTTTAACGACAGGATAACGGCAAGGTTACCGTATGGAAACAAAAAATATATTGGAGTTACAGTGTAGAAAGTGATATATGTTGGGGCACAACGTAGAAAAGTAAAAAAAAAAAAAAAAAAAAAAAAAAAAAAAAAAAAAAAAGTTATTATATAGAAAAACCCTTTTTATTTTTACATAGCTCATTTGGCATGGTTTTATGTTGCCCCCAACAAACTTGAGCTGAAATAAACTGAACTGATTGGAGTTGAACTGAACTGAAATTAAGCTAAAGAGAACAAACCCTAAGTTTGTCAAAATTGATCCATGCCCAATTACTTGATCCAAAATTCTTTATTTGAAACCCAAGCAACCTATAATCGAAATTAAACTAGCCAATTTTGACATAATTTTAATTTGAACCAGGTCAACTCGAATGTGCTGTCTATTTTATTTAGACACGCATATTGACAATACAATTGTTGATGATCTAACTAACCCAAACAATAATAACCTGAATTAGACTGTATTTAAATGTTCCAATTCCCTCTTCTGAATTTAAATACCTACTCTAAACTTGAGCTCAACTTGTTATTAACACATCACTCACAAGTCACAACATCTCAAACAAATCTTATAAATACAACTGTACATTGTCATTCCATTGTCATATTATGCAACTTGAAGTTCAAATACTCCTAAAACTCAAACAAACCAAACAATTTGTAGCCAAGCTTGTTCTATTACGTTTGTATAAGAGGTTGTGAGGTGGGATCAAATTCCATTAGAGACACTTTGATGTTGGGAGATTCCCTTATCCTTCCCCCTCACTTCTAAAGTGTCTAGCCCACTAATCTTGATCGGGTGAACCTGTGACATTCCGATCCAATAGGATTCTTCTCCTTGCAAAAAAAAAAAAAAAAAAAAAAAAAAAAAAAAAAAAAAAAAATTTGTAGCCAGCTGAGAGTTGAACTACAAAATTCACAAACCGCCCAAACTTGACCACTACACGACAGATGTCTTAACCTAGTTGGATTACAAAATTCACAAACTCCCCACATTCCTGCCACGTGTAACTCCGCGGGTCCACGTAAGACCTGGCTTCACCTGGCCGGCGGGAACCCCTCAATTTTCCACGATTAAAAAATTAAAACAAATTAAAAAAAAAAAAAAAAAAACCTTTTTACATTCTTCAACTTCCTCAATTATCGCAACTTTTTCCTGCAATTCTGAAAAAGTTTTCCCAGAATTTCCGATCCTTTTTTTAATCAAATCCCCCAAATTTGTTCCTTGTTTGGGAGGATTGATTGAAGAGGAAAAAGGGGAAATTGGGGAGGAGAGAGAAAATCGAGATGAGCTTCCAAGATCTTGAAGCGGGTCGTCGGCCATTGGCGTCGAGACGTGATTTGATAAATGCAAACCAAGACTCAACTCAGTCCGTCGCTTCTGGAATCTTCCAGATTAATACCGCTGTTTCTTCTTTTCAACGCCTTGTTAATACCCTAGGCACCCCCAAAGACACCCTTCAACTTCGTGAAAAACTGTATGTCTTCTCAATTTACCCTCAATTTTGGTACATTTTGTGGTATTTTTGATGTGTTGTGATTTGATGTGATTTATTTTGGTCAAACTTTGGGGAATTGCCGTTTTGATTTTGTAAATTGGGTGATTTTGTGGTTAATATTGCTTGGGTATGTGTGAATTATGATGGGTTTTGTGTTAATTTTTCTGGGTTTAGCTCTGTTTGAGGTTTGATTGCTTTAGTTAGGTTTATGCTGTGCAATTCTGTGAGTTTTGTGGTAATTTGGCTAGGTTAAGGCGTTAAGCTCAATGTGAATTTTGGTTGGTTATATTTGTAGTGGTTTATTATTTTGCCAACGAACAAGCGATTCTGCTGTCACTTTTACTGGTTTTTGTTGTAATTTGTGTGGATTAAGCTCTTTTTCTGGTTATGGTGTATTGTGCCATTGTTGTTTGCTATGCTATCGGTTGAAACATGTGAAATGTGTGATGTTGTTGTTGTGAAATGGATGGGTTTTGTCAGTTGAGCTATGGCAGGGTTTGTGATGATTGTGGTTATAAGAACCAGTTCTCTGGTTAACAAGTTTTTTACTCTAGGACCTTTGGGGGTACAAGGTAACTTGATTGGATGAACTTCGGTAGGTGAGATTTTGGTTTCATCCGTAGGTTAATTAATTATGGTTATGAGTTGAGGAGCTCCTTTTGCATGTTCCAATTCAGGGGTTGGTTGAAATTAGTGAGATTCTGCAGTTACATGTTGTGGCTTGTGTGATGGATCTAGTAATGGGTGTAAGTTAGTTGATTTATTCTTGCAGAGGCAATTTTATAGAAGTTATGATATTTGGCGTTGACCTAGAATTTTAGTTGCTCGGGAAGCATGATTGAGGTTGTGTTAACTGTTAAGTGGCTTAAGTTTGGTTTAAAGAAAGATACATTGCTGCCACTGAGATTTTTTGTTTTACATAACGGAAACCTAGACTCCTAGAGCTACGATTCCATTCGTAGTGATTCATGTGGGATTCAGATGGTTGAATTGCAGTGTTTGGCTGCTGAGGCAACAGATTTTTTCCCTGTCTCCAGTGGATACTCATCAAGGTTCACTGCGCTTGCTTTTCTTGTCTACCGTAACTCTTTTTATTTATCTTAAAAACCTTCAAGGATAATAATTCGTGGCATCTGTAGATTCTTTACATGGTTTACAAGGCTGGTTCTAGAAACTTATAAGGACCCTATTAATTTATTAGCACATACTGGATAATTTATTTGCTAGAATAGGCAAAATGAATGGAGAAATGCTGCTCATTTCAACTTTATCAAGCATGAAATTGGTTTGCCCTTGATTCATGCATTTGGAGTATTTACTTGTTTATTTCTGTAAAAGATGATGCTAAGGGCCTTAGGCTACTTTTGGTTCAACTTATTTTGTTTGTAATTAATATATTTGAACTTATTTGAAATTATCTGATCTTGTCTGAATTTTTTTTGTTTGAAATTGTCTTATATTTGTGTGATTTTGTCTGAATCTGTTTGAAAAAAAGAAAGCAGGCACATTTTCATTAATTAGCAATTCAGGTGTAGGATTGTGCTGCTTCTCCTCCTTGTTTTCTTCTGTAATGTTAAAAAAAAAAAATCATCAAAATGGTAGTCCTCCAATCCTCAGTTATTGGAATGACTAGAGTTAATTCCATTGAATGGAAGTGAGGAGTGACAAAGTAACTATGCCTGGGGACCATAGAGATTAGTCAAACTACTAGATTCGTTCTATATGCCATTGTCATGTACACTGTTTCTGCTTCTTTGGTTTTGCACTGATTTTCATTTGGTACTGTTCTAGTTTTCTGAACAGTTGAATGTAAAATTTACTTTCTGGTATCTCTTGATACTAATGGGAGGTTGAGACTAGTCCTATTTTTAAAAACTTTTCTACATTATGTGGGCTATTTCTCAATATATAGCATGACTTGCCCTCCTTCACTGTTTACATGTGACTGTGCTTTTCATTTTGAATTAGTCTTCTCTGAACTTTGTTTCATCCTGTTAATAGCCACAAAACAAGGTTACATATTGGGCAATTAGTAAAGGACACTTCAGCTAAACTCAAGCAAGCAAGTGAGGCTGATCATGACAGTAATATCAGTGTAAGTTTATTTTCTACACTTCAGGTTCTTTGAGTGTGTTCCTTCCTTAATTGGGTATTTACACTCTTCTGAGCTAAAATTTTATTTCACTCTCGTTTCATGTATTTAGGCAAACAAGAAGATAGCTGATGCTAAACTTGCAAAAGATTTCCAAGCAGTTTTGAAGGAGTTCCAGAAGGCTCAACGTCTTGCAGCAGAGCGGGAAACAGCATATACCCCTTTTGTTCCTCAGGCTGTTCTTCCTTCTAGGTACTTAATGTTTTTGTCAAATTGCATGTTTACTACTTGCATGGCATTCAGATATTACGCCTAAGTAAAAGTTTGTTATTCAGGATCATCTTTGCGTTTCGTTTATGTCAAATATGGAGGAGCATTATTGTCCGTAATTCACAAGTAGCTATTGTCGTTTTTTCATGTTTGTTTCATGTTTTCTAGTTTGCTGTAAACAAAGACAAGAACTTTTTGTACTGTCTACTGATCTTATATTTTACTGACTGTCTTTTGTTTCAGCTACTTGTTGCTTGTAATAAAAGATTACACTGGTGACTAAACTAGTGTTCTTTGCCTTCTGTTGTAGTTACACAGCTAGTGAAGTTGATGTGAATTCAGATAAGACGCCGGAGCAGCGGGCTCTTCTTGTGGAAGCTAGAAGGTGAAGATCCACTTTTAAATTTGTGTTAAACTAAATGCTTATTCTTTTATTACAGCTGCCAAATTCTTATTTCAGGATTTTAAGTAGTCCTATTACCTGGTTCTAGTACCTTGATATTTCTTTCATTTGGTAATATAGTTATGAGAATTATCATGGGTTTTGATGTAATTTATTGAATGATTACTTGAAAAGTTGCCAGTTGTCATTGTTTAGTCATTGGATTGTATAAAACAATAAGGTTCTCTGACATCAGGTTGGGGTTATTGCCTATAGTCTGTCTAGTTTCAAAGTCTGTACCCAGTACCCAGCATCATGCCAGTATCCTCATATTAATATATATCAGCACAACCCTCAAAATGACTTGAAAATTTTAAATGGAGAAAAACAAATTCTCTGGCAGGAGTTGTTAGATGTGAGTGAGGGTACTGATGAAGTCCTTGCAAGTTGCAACATGACACCGAAAATTTCCTTCTGGGTATGTTGTCAAGCATCATCTGATTTTGCAAGTTTGCCTTCGCTACAACATAAAATAGGATTGTCAATTGTCATGAATTATGATAACAGACTAAAAAAAAAAAGCGACTTATCATAGTTGTTGCATGGATGAAGCATTAAATTGATGTTAATAAATTGCTATAAATCATGATGTACGAAGTAAAAAACAGCCACTTAGTTGCCCAATGACCTAAACTTTCTTGGTGTCGTGCAGACAAGATGTGTTACTGTTGGACAATGAGATATCTTTTAATGAAGCTGTCATTGAGGAAAGAGAGCAAGGAATACAGGAAATTCAGCAGCAAATTGGTGAGGTAAATGAGATCTTCAAAGATCTTGCAGTGCTTGTCCACGATCAAGGAGCTATGATTGGTAAGTTGTCTGCTACTGCTTACCATTGAATCGGTATACAATGTGTTATAGTATTAATATAATGATTCTTTTGCACAGATGATATTGGGTCCAATGTTGAGAATGCTCATGCAGCCACTGCACAGGCGAGATCCCATCTCGGAAAGGCATCCAAAACCCAGAGATCGAATTCATCACTGGTGCGTTGTGTTTTTACTAATGATGTTCGTTTATTTTGACTGGCCAGGCTATTTTCATTGTTGCTTATGAATGAAACTCTAGATTTTTGAACAAATATATAGTTAATTGATGGATCATACTTGAACGTCAATCGTCATCCAACATATTTAACAGCTGCTCTTGGGTGAGACAAGTTTTACGCTAAGTGGATGAAGTGTGCATTGTGCAACAACTCGTCAATTCACCGCTTATGTGGCATATTTTCTGTCACCTTTAAACAATATAGCAAATTGCCCATTATATACAAGTAACTAATTGCTCCTCAATTATAGAAAAAACCACCCTATTATTATATAAGTCACCCCTTGAGCAGTTTAAGGCACCACTCAACAATACAGTTCACCCTCAGCAATATAACCAGTAGCCCTAACACTGGCTAATTGCATCGAAGTGTTGTGGTGAGACTGAACATTTTCTTCTTTTTCACTTTTAGCTAATACTACGTATGAGTTTACCTTGTCCTTTATGATACATCTTATCAATAAGCAAGTGGGGATTGTCACATACACATTTCTTGTACATTTGTAAAGTCTTTAAATTGTTTTCTTGTCTTCTCATTTTCTGATGACAATTGTTTATTGAATGCAGACCTGCTTGCTCTTGGTAATCTTTGCGATCGTTCTCCTGGTTGTTCTTATAGTCATTGTAGCATAAGGAGGAAGGAGTGGAACATTTCCTCTTTGCATGAGCTGAAAAGGTTTCTTGTCTGGAGAGATTCAAAGTTTCCATTCTCTCTTCCTTTTCTTCCCCATGTTGCCTTGTATGTATGGTTGTTGGAAGCAGGGACATAAGAAAGATTGGTGGGACTGTGTTATGCTATCAATTGCAGGCTTAGGTGATTGTTGCAACACTTTCAGGTCGCTTGGCATGTAAACTGGATGCAGGGGAGTTTTGAGCTGTTTCTAGTTGAATTTGGTTGGGTTGTCTATGTATTCTGTAAGTTGTGACTTGCTGTCCAACTACATCTCTCTTTTTTATCATCCTTTCAGTTTAATTCATAATTCTTTTTTTTTTGCTATTTTCCCTTAAAAAAAAGAAAAGAAAAAGGTCCGTGTTATTTGGCTGAAAATTTCTTGTCAAATTGTCTATTTTTTGGGATTGGCTTGTGCGGATGCATATAATTTCCCTGTTTTTTTCTTGAAGAGTGTCACATGAAGTGAGAAACTTATTATCGCAGTATCGCTGGTCAGTTTATATCTGAACCTTTGTTAGTTTGTTACTATATAATCAACATTATGTTGCATCTCTTTGGTTGCAGAACCCTATTGACATTGTATAAATGTATCATAAGCAAGTGTAAAGGTATAAAAAGTCGCAGATTTATCGCTCATTAGTCTCCTTAACCATCTTACACATAAAATCATTAAATACTTTGTGGCCTTTGATCTGTTTGTACTTCTTCTTCATACCAATTTTATGGTGTGAGCTGTTTGTAATAAGCGTAGTTTTATGCCAATTCCTTTTACATATATCTTAGCTAAGCAGATGTGTTATCTTCTCTTCTTGGATGTCTATGGGAGAAGTTAAGATTCAAAGTCGAAGAACTCGACTATTAATTTTAGATGGAGGGAGTTGTGCTAGGCTGCTATATTCCTCAAATTAAAGGATAAGTAGTCATAAGAATATTCCAATCGTTGATAAAAATAATACTCGTAGTTGATTTAACGAAGCAGAATGGACATTGGATCTTGGATTTAAGATGTAAAAAATTCCAATAGGCGTCGATCTCCATATACGATGTTAATTCACAAATTGTATAATTTCCCGATCAAACACAGTTATTTCAAAAAATGTTCTTTTGCTTATCAAGTTATCCTTAAGAAATCAAGATTACACCTTCTCTTTAAGTTTATTTTTAATGAGATTATTCATTTTTTACGATGAGATTTGTAATGAAATTATTCATTGTTATTATTACCATGTATTATTATATGAATTGGCACCAAAAATATTTTTTAAAAAATGAAGTGCTTTAACCACTTTATTTTTCTTGTTCATTTTTATTTGTACTTTCGTATATGCCAAATTGACGTGGTTGATGGAAAATCGACGTGGCTCTTTAAATTTGGAAGGCTAATAGAAACTGTCACTTTTTTTTTTTTTTTATATTTTATTTATATGTGGCTTCTCATTCTTCATACCGTGAGCTCTTTTTCTCTTGTTCCATTGTTTTTTGGGAAGAAAACAGAGTATTTCTCTTGTTCCATTAATTTTAAGAAAATAGCCTAAATAGGTAGGGAAGCAAACTTTGTATATACTACTCGAATACATAGTTTAATCAAATGACCACATAGAGTACATACTACTCGAATACTCGTTTTAACTTTACAAAAATTTTGAATTTCCATACCTCGATCATACATTACCATGTTTTTTTAAAAACCGCAACTAATTAATTAGCGCCATAATACCAGCATTTTATGTCTTATAACTATGAGGACGAGTCTTCAAAAGCATAAGCAAAAATAATAGAGGATCTCCACTGTCTCCTTTCTCCACATTATTATTAAGGCGATCCCTTTTCCCATATAGAGTTGTTTGTACCCTGCTTGCTTTGCAGCTGAATGCAGCAGAGAGGAAGAGCTCTCAACCGAAGATCAAGGTCTTTCTCTCGTTCACGCCTCGCCATCAACGGTTCTTAGTCCTCCTTCCTTTTTAATTTTCTCTCTCCTCCACTTACTTTTGTGACAAGATATGGCTCCTCAAAGTGCTCAACTTGAGGTATGTTAAAAACTTCCATTTCTTCCGCTGTTTTTGTAATTTTATTGTAATGTTTTCATGTGATCATAGTATACATAACTTGTTATAATACACAAAAAGATGTAATATAGTAATACTAGAGCTAATTAGTTGTAATGCACCTAATCAATCATAGCTTGATTATTGAATGCTCTCCTTGTTTGAAGAGGTTTTTAGTTATGTTAACCGCATCAGAATTTCTGACATAGTCGTCAACTGAGATCAGATTGATCTGGTTTGGTTCGGAACTAGCTTACTTGAAATCATCAAAAAAAATTATGAAAGAGGATTTAGAGTTAGTTGAAAACGACACTGATTTATTGGTAAAGAATTCACGTGTAAGTGGAAACTGACATACTGTATTTTTTTTCTATACTTGTAAATACTAGTGTATGTCTTTTGGAATTTTGATCAATTTACAGCGCATATATATTGATTTATAGTATACCCTTCATCAGCATCAAATTGTGATGTCATTCTTAGATAACGGAGTATCAAAGTACTTGTATAATTTAATGTACTTGTAGTGAATTTACTTTTAAAATGGAGTTGTTCAATAAACAAAAAGATGAAAAGGATAAATAATTGAGATATCAATCATATTACATGGTAGTTATTATGAGTATAAAGGCTTTGACCAATGAATTGTAAACTTGACATCTAACCAAAGTAGGGTGTGTGGCTATTTTACAATATACTCCCCATGCAATCGATTTGCTAATTAATGTGAATGAGTCAAAGAAAGTCATGTCATTCATAGAAAGCATGTTAACTAGTCATTTCTTCATTTATTGTTAGGCAAGCTTTGAGCCCTTAATCAGGCTTGTTCACGAATCACGGATGTATGCAGTACTGTTTTATGTACTGGTACAGTTTTACATGCTCTCCTGTACGGATACAGGTACTTCCTTCGCTTCCACCTTATGAAGGAAAGTCTGTACTACAAATTGGTGAGGGTATTGGTCATCTTATTGGTGAACTAGCCAGGAAGGCTGGCCAGGTTGTAGCTGTTGATGTCACTGGGGGTGTGAAAACTGAGGTGAGATCAATCATGATCAGCAATTTTACTTGTTAAATTTAAATTACTGTATTTATTGTGTATATCATTCTAATATCCTTTGTGTTGGTTGCAGAGTGAAAGCATAAGTGCACAATACCCAAATGTGAAGTTCATTTCTGCTGATGTTTCATGTCCTAATCTAGACATTTAGCCAGAATCCTTTTATCTTATATTCGCTAATTCGTTTCTTGTGCATCTTTCTGATGATGAGGTAATCTTGGTGCTTGGCTTTCCTCTTTTCATATTGTGAATTTGTGATCCTTGTACATGAATGAGAATAAGATTCTTATAATGAACTCGGCTAGTGGTGTGTCCAGTAACTTGTACCTGTGTAGGTATTGTTTGTTTCTGATAGTACTCAGTGTTAATAATTGGAGTGTATTTTACTTTTGGAACTGTAGGTTAGAAAAATGGTTCAAAGCATGGTGAAATGGTTGAAACCAGGAGGCATTATTTACTTTAGAGAGACTTGTGCTAACGAAAGTGCTAATCAGAACCAAAGCAACTCAATCCACTATCGCGATCCTAAGTTCTACTCAAAGGTTTATCCTTTCATGTTTTTCATCTTCTTCTTTGTTTTCTCTGTTTAATATATGTATGTACAGAAATCTTACTTAGCTTGTTAGTTTTGTGAGGAAGGCAATTCAAGACCTCCCATAAACTTGAGTCAGCAGTCTTTAGTGTCATATTAATTTCATGTATCCTGCAGCAGTTCTGATTTCGAGGCAAAGTTAGCTTCAAAGAAATAGACTCACTGTTTAAATCGAATTAAGTCAAGAAATTTGTTTTGATTGCTGCAGGTATTCAAAGAATGTCGCGTGCAAAATGAATCTGGGAACTCTTATGAGCTCTCTGTGGTTGGTGGCAAATGCAATTCATTATAACTTTGCTAAACCTGCATTATTCAGATCGTTTTACAAATGGTTGAAACCTGGCGGGAAACTTTTAATTACTGACTACTGCAAGAATGCTGGTACACCATCACCTGAATTTGCAGCATATATTATGCAGAGGGGATATGATCTCCATGATGTGCAGGAATATGGCCAGGCAAGTGTATATGATTTTAGTCTTATTGCCCTCTCTGCAATTTCAGAACGTTTTTCCATTAGCATGTATGCTGAAATATCATTCATTCGATCCAGATACTTAGAGATGCTGGATTTGAAGAAGTTGTTGCTGAAGATAGGACCGATCAGGTTCCATTATTCTCCCTTTTCTTCATTTTACCCTTGTATTATCTTCGACTACCAATTATGGAGATTTATTGTCCTTTAGTTTCTTATGGCTTTGTGTTTCTGGTTTAGTTTCTGAAAGTTCTAGAGAGGGAACTTAATGCTGTCGAGGAGGAAAAGGAAAGATTTATTGCAGACTTCTCTGAGGTTTGTATTCAGAGGAGACTTGAGTATAGTTTAACTACATTTTGGACTGTCTTTTTTTGCTAATGATCCGTCTTTTAATTAAATGTGCAGAGAGATTACAATGACATAGTTGGTGGCTGGAAGGCCAAGGTGGTCAGGAGTTCATCCGGTGAGCAACGATGGGGTTTATTCATTGCTGAGAAAGCAGCAGTGAAGAACTGATCTTTGCCACCGTCTCTAATCGGATTTTACAAGTGTTTTCAGTTATGAATCATGTGTACTTTGGTAATTATTATTTTTCTGTCATGAAATAAAGTGGAAAACTGATGCAATTCAAATTATGTGGTATAACATAACTAAATTCCTAATACGACCAATATTAAGAGTAGAATAGACCCGGTCTACAATAACTTATTGTAGACCCAACCTTCTACTATACCATACGAATGTGATTATATCATACGAAATGTGATTATATTATTACAAAAGTGATTATATCATTTTGAAACTATTATGTAAATGTATCACTCAAAAAGTGAATTTATCATTATAAAAAGTATCAAATAGTGATTACATCATTCAAAAGATGATTTTTAAATTTTATCATCCTAAAGATAATTATATAATCTCATTAAATGGTTTAATATAAGATCAAAATATGACTCACAAAAATATAATTATATCATCTAAAAAAGTGATTATATCATCCAGAATGTGATTATATTATTTGAAAGTGTCAAATTTTGGATCTACAATAATTTATTGTAGACCGGGTCCATACAAGACCAATTGTACTACCAATTCAATCCTGTATGTTTAAATTGATTACTACAAATACAAGTTCTTACATACACAAACAATAGAATTTTACAATAGTGTAGGGAGAGGAAGGGAAAGGGACGGAATGGGAGGGAAAAGGTAAATTTTCATTTTCCTTCCAAATCTCTCCAACAATGGATGGATCTAGCTTATTGTAAGAGGAAGGAAAATGGATCCTTCAAATTCCTTCCCCTTCTCTCCTTGCATTAGATATTTAAACAAATGATGATGCATCCATCTATTTTTTTTTTCCGTTCCTTTCTTTCCATTTCTCTCTATTAAGACATAGTGTTAAAGAATATTACATGAAATGAGAAACTTTTTTCGCTAGTATGTTTATATAACATTTGT